TTCAGTACGGACAAAAACCGGAAGGCAAGATGGTGACTTTTCCTAGTGCGCAAGTGCAACGGGCCACCGGTGTGGCTACGGTTGCTCAACAGGCCCAAGTGCGAGGAAGATCTCCCATGACAACGGTATCGGCCAACCCAGGTGAGAAAGGGTGAACCTTCTCAGGTTTCGTTCCTTGTCGGCAAGGGTGGGTTGGTTCCCCTTCATGCTCATCTTCCCTCCCTCCCTCCCTCCCTCCCCGTGACAAACCAGTCCTTGGAATTAAACCAGTCTTCCTCAACCTTCCTGATGTATTGAGGTTCCCCACAACCATCACTACCAACCCAGGTTGGAATTCCTGCACCTCCGGATGGAATCAATGTGGAGGAAGCTGAACTCTTTGTCCTCCTACGGGAGGCACGGATTGGGTAGATCCCCCCTAATCGTTTCTTCTTCTCCTCGAACCAGCGTTTTCAGCTGTGGACCTCAGGCCAGGTTGGGTCTCCAGATGTTGAGTTATCCACTTGGGTATTTGGATGAAGGACTCCCAGGTCCTTTACGTGACCTTCTACCCACCTTGAGCTGCATTCCATGGCTGCTCTGTTTTTCTGGATGCACCCTGGCCTGGCACTTGAGGTTTTTGTGTGAACTGTGGACCGATACTGTGGTTCTTACAACACCTAAGGTGCTCTTCCTGGGTTTTGGTAGGTGTCTTCCTGAGCTTCAAGGCAGGATGATGCTCTTGTTCCATTCCCTTGGGCTGAAACATTTCCGGGCATTTTGTGTCCTTTGTTAAAATCTCTACGCTGCTCATCTATCTCACCATCAAGTGACCCAAGGCAGATTTCATTTGGATGGATTTCTCTCCGAAGGGCTGGTTTTAAGCTCTACCTCCCCCTCCGTTGTTTTTTCCTTTCAATTTAAAGCTTTGGAAAGGGAATAAAAAAACGAACGACAGCCAATTGTCATGCTCTTACTGGAAACGGTCCAGGCAAGCGACTTGGGGCTTAAAATACTTACATTCTGCATCCCAAGCTTGGTTTGAAAGAAGTCAATAATCCCAGCCTGATCACTAACGTGGGCGGGAGGATCTCATTTTGGCTCGTCCTAGGAGAGGCTTGATTGCGCTTCGTTCAAAAATCTGGAACGGAGGCTATCGAAACATCCAAGCAAGCCTCCTCTTACCTGTGTTTTCATCCTCTTTTTTTTTTTTTTTAATGTGTCAGCTTGAGCTGAAGGTGAACATTTCCAGCAATATGTTTAGACTCTGTGTTTGCGTGCGTGTCTTTGTGTGTTTTTCTTTGGTCTCAAATCCAGTGAGCGGTTAGGACAACAAAGCTGCTTCCTTCAGGTCACCCCTATAAATTTTATTCGTTTGTTTGTTTGTTTGTATCCCACCACTGTTATTTTGACAAATAATTCCAGGTGGCAAACGTATACAACACACCTTTTTTCCTCCTCCTCTTTTCCCCACAAGAACAACCCAGTGAGGTGGGGAAACAGAGAGACACAGACAGACAGACAGACAGACAGACACAGACACACAGAGACAGAGACACACACACACACACAGAGACACAGAGATAGAGAGAGATAGACAGACAGACAGAGACACACAGAGACAGAGACAGACAGACACAGACAGAGACACAGATAGAGAGAGATAGACAGACACAGACACACAGAGGCAGAGACACAGAGAGAGAGAGAGACAGAGACAGAGACAGACACACACACAGACACAGACACAGACAGACACATACAGAGAGACAGACAGAGGGACTGGCTCAAGGTCACCACCTGGTCTTTTTGCCAAAGAGAGGAACTAGAACTCATGATCTCCCCCTTTCTAGCCTGGCACCTTAACCAACCTGGCTTTCTTTATGCCACCCTGTCTCTCCTTTGATAAAGTTGGAGAACTTCACGTCGGAAAGCCTTCCAAGCTTTCAAAGCAAAGAGCTAGCAAACCCACCCGAACTCTCCCCCCCCCCACACCTCCCCTCCTCCCGCTCCGCAGGCAAAGTTGTGTTCCCGTGTGTTTGTGTGCATAATGTGTTTATTTGTGCGGCCGCCGTGAAGCTGAATTCGAGCATTGAGTCGCTTTCGGCACCTTGATTTAAGGCTCCCAAATGCCTCTGGATTTTCCTTGCTTTTTTAAAAATTTATTTTAAAGGCAGACTGCCTGTACTCAGCCCCCCCCCCCCCCCCCCCCCCCCCCCCCCCCCCCCAACTGTGACTGCTGAAATTTCTCCGTTGCTCTAACACCTCGAAAGGAAACGAAGGACCGACTCTAACCGCTTACACCCCCTGACCTTATTGATTGCAGCCGCCGTTGCCGTCTCCTCGGCTGCCACCGCAGCGCCACCACAATTGCCGCCTTCCTCCAGTGTTCCTCCACCTCCTCCTCTTCCTCTTCCTCCTCCAAGACATCAGCCAGCAATGACCTTCGCCAACGCAACTAGCCCGGCCCATCCAGTGAAAGTGCGGGGCCAGGCTACCGCCCAGGGCCTCCAGCTAGGGCAGGCCCAGCCACAGGCCCCCCCACCCACCATCCAACAGAGTGTCCTGCCTCAGAGGCTCGTGTTAACCAGTCAGGCACAGGCTCGGTTACCCAGTAAGTGCCCCTCTGCCCTGCTTCCTTCAGGTTTCTCCAGCTTCCTTCTCTCCTCCTCTTCCTCCTCTTCCTCCCCTCCTCCTCCTCTTTTCCAAAGCTTCCCTGAGGTTAAGTTGTTAGGCACCCTAACAATGTGTGCAAGGATACCTGGATAGATAATAGGAGAGGTATTTGGACGGAGGGCAGGGGTGGGCTTCAAAAAATTTTAGCAAGAGGTTCTCTGTCCAGTTGCTGGGTGGGCGTGGCCATGGTGGGCGTGGCCTAGTTGGCCTCCTGCACCATGGTGCGTGGGGGGTGTTTTTGCTTTCCCCGGGCTCCGGAGGCTCTCTGGGAGCTGGAAACAGGCCCGTTTCCGGCCCTCCTGAAGTTCCGGGGGGGGGGGGGG